GGGGGTGTAGGGGGTGTTTGGGGGGGGGGGGCTGGGTTTCGAGTTCTGACCGAGCTCGCTTCCGCGGCGTAGTAACAATTTTGGCGCTGAATATCACTATCTATCTTAAAAAAAAATGAAAAAAATATACCGAGTTCTCCTTGTGGCGTAGGAGGTACGTGTGTAGGTGTGTGTGTGTGCGTGTGTTGGCCAGGAGGGGGGGGGTTCTTACCGAGTTCTCCTCCGCGGCGTGGCCACGGCTGAGCACGCGCTGGGAGATCTCACACGGAGAGAGCGAAGATGCCTGTTCGAATAATAGTAATTATTACTATTCAATTATTTTAGTTCGAATATTATTCTGCTGGGAGAGAGCGAAAACGCCTGTTCGCGAATACGCCTGTTCGAATAATCATTATGATTATTATTCAATTATTTTAATAATAACATTATTTCGCTGGGAGTGAGCGAAAACGCCTGTTGGTAAAGTTTTTTATTTTTATATTAGACACCATGCTGCTCACAGAGGCCGGATCATATTTGGAATCTTCTTATTTCGCTAGGAGTGAGCGCATACGCCCGATCATTTATTTTTATTTATTTTTGATGTGGTTTTGGTTGTGATGGTTACTACAGTGTTGCTGTTGTTCTTGTTGTTCTTGTTGTTGTCGATGCTATTGTTGTTGTTGGTGATAATGTTGCTGTTGCTGTTGCTATTGCCGTTCAAATGGTCATGGTCATGATCATGGTTATGGTTATTTTGTGTTGGTGTGGTGCCTTAAAAAAAAAAAAAGGTTCGGAAATAAATTCCAATTACCGGGACAGTGTGGAAGGGGCCTCCTTGCATCCCAATCAAGGGCAGTTCTCTCGGGTGCTGGGTGATGGGGGCGCCCCCTGCTGTTGTTGTTATTATTATGGATAATAGTACTAGTAATAACAACGAAACTAATAATAATAATCACCAAATGTTTTTCATATTCGAATAAATTAAAATTAAATTTACCCCCCCGCCCCCCAAACCAAAAATGTTTGGCAGGCGCACACCCCTCGACTCTGCATGGATGCCCAAGCCCCAGGTGCCGGGGATCATGTGTGAACATGCCCAGTCCACCATCCCCTCCGACCTCTCGAGAAACAGGCACACGGGCTTGGATTGATCTGCGTTTGTTCACCATCAAGAGATAGAACACGGAGAGAAATCCAAACGGAGAGAAATATTATTAATTTTTATCATCATCATCATCAAAATCAGCATTATTATTATTAGCATTATTAGTATTAGTGAGAGGGGGGAAGAGGGCAGTGAGGGGGCAGAGAATAACGAGGGCGGATAGAGAGGGCATAGCACAAGTAGGGGAGGGGGGGAGGGGGGCTGGGGGGGGAGGAGGGATGGGGGTAGAGAAGGCAGTCGCTAAACAGCGCAAACTTATATTTGAAGATCGTTACATAGTACAGATATAAATCGTGAAATAGTGCCTCCCCCCCCCCTCTCCTCCTTCTCTTCATCATCCAAAAAAAAAAAAAAAAAACTTACTTGAGCAGACGGTCGCTGTGTTCCTTGAGCATCTTTGTCGTCTCGGAGAGTGAGTCGCAGAAAGGGGCGATGTAGATATTAGGCCCCCCTCCTTCGCTTTGGCGGGGGACCGCGTCCGTTATTTCAAATGTTGCAAGCAAAATAAAATAAATATTAGATTATATTCACACACATCTCGCAGAAAGAGGTGATGCAGATTAGCAACAGCCCCCCCCCCCCCCCCCCCTTGTTAATACGCAGCTAAGTATGTGCATGTGTTATTTGTTTAGGAGAGGGGAAGGACAAGGTGATCATCATTCTCATTCTAAACGTATATTTATAGGGAACCCCTCTTGCCCTAACCAACTAACCCCTCGTTGGTTGGTTAGGATACCTCGCTGGTGAAGTGTTGGTTAGTAGGGCCATCAAAGTTTAACCTCTAAATATACCTTTAAATGAATGTGTGTTTTAGTTGGCCAGGAAGGGGTAGAGGGTAGGGCCAACAAGGCATTCCCTCCTTGCAGCCATCACCTCTATGGAGAGGGGGGAATTGGGGGTGGCTGAGAAGGTGAAAAGGGGAATAGGGGGAGAAAGGGAGATTGGAATAGAGAGAACAGGGGGAAATGAGGTTTATACGTGTGTGTAGTGTAGGGGGGGGGAGGGAGGGGTTAATATCACTGCAACAGATGAAGGTGCTCACTGCAATAACTGCCCACGAGACTGCAGTCTGACAGACTGGATAAGGGGGAGGGGGGGGGGGCGCTCACTGCACAAATTCCCCAAGAAGGTCGCGATGTGGTAATCATTTCCCACCCATTGCGAATCCTCGTTGATCGCCTCGGGCACCTTGGTCAGGCATAGCGAAGACAGCGCCTCGATCACTCCGCACTTGACGAGCAGCTGTCGCAGCGGTTGGGGTTAAGATTAAGGTTAAAATTTAGGTTTAGGTTGGAATAGGTTGATTTTTAAGTACGACTTAATTATGGAAAGGTGGAGCAGCAGACGGTGGGTGGCGGCCAGTCAGGGGCGAACTCCAAGCGTGTGGGCGCGATAGCAATCAGTCACCCAGGCGGCGTGTCTAAACGTCAAACACCGACCGCGTTCCTGTCGTTTTTTTTTTTTTTTTTTTGGTGGTATGCACCCTCGGCCCACTCATCGGGGTTGCCGTCGTCGCCGCCAGCGTGAATAGGGAAATTTTGAGTTTGGTTTTGGGGTTGGAAGGGGACGTACAGTGCGGCTGACACTGATCTTGGGACAGTGGGTGCAGACAGTGAGGGCCTTTAACGCTCGTGCCAGCCAGTGAGTGTGTGGCTAGTGTGCGCAAGATACACACATGTACAGCCTTGGCTGCGGACATCCCCGCCTCTGCGGAGAGGTGACCCGGGTCTTGGATGTAATTCTTGAGCGTAATGCAGGTGACCGCGGCAACCTGCTCAGTGTGGGAAGCAGTGGCGTGGGAGGCGGTACGGGTGGGGCACGATTCGTGTCTGCGCTGGTAGAGGCGGGCGCAGGAGGATTGGTGCAGTCTCCCCCTCCCCCTCTCAGTCCCTAACTCCCCCTCCCCTCCCCCGTAAGTAGGGATAAACACCCCCCCCTCCCCCCTTCCCCCCCCTCACCACCCGTAAGTGGGGGTAAAGCCCCCCCCCCCCCTCTGAGGAGGGCGCAGGAGGATTGGCGAGGCAACGGCGGCTAGGAAGCAGCGGGCAGTGGCAGGAGCGCGCATACCTGCTGGTCGAGCAATGCCTCGTTTGCGAGCGGCAGCTTGCTGAATAGATCGGTGATCGCGCGAGCGCGCGCGTCGCCCCGCATTCGGATCTGCATCGACAGCGTCTGCCGCGTGGCCGCATCGCGCGATGCGAAGCTCTCGTCCTGGACGCTGTGAACATTGATGTGCGCAATGCGCGGCGTGCCGTCCCGGGCCGGGTCGCGCGGGGGCGGCATCAGAGTTTGTGGCTCCGGTGCATGAAGCACTGCTGCTTTGTACTGCAGGAGATCCCAAGTATGTGCTTACTTTATATAACACTTCTTGGTCAGTATGATTATCATTGTCGGAATGGTCTAGTTGGTTATGACGCGGCCTTCACACGGCTGAGGTCCGGAGTTCGATCCTCTGTTCCGATATGTTCTTTTGATCTTGCCCCACTTATTACATTTCCTGAGGAAGGTAAAGGCCGGGAATCGTGGCCGGGGAAGGAGATAGCAGCCGTCCCCGTGAAATAGGGAGGGCTGATTCGGCGAGCTGCGTGCACAGCGCACCATTCTAATTTATTATTCGTACTGTGTTTAAGGTAGCCGCCGAGGCGCGGCCGAGGCGGGGCGTGGAGGCCGGGGCAAACACACTCACACCCTTTGGTGTGAGTGCTGGTGCATGAGGGTTTGGGTCGATCGCTCAACCTCAGCCTGACGTCGACCAAGCTAGTGACTGGAAAACACCTGTTGATCCATGCTGAGCCGCTAATATATATATGTTTAAGGTAGCCATGTGGGCCGCCCAGACAGCTGAGCGGGCAGCAAGGAGACTGAATCAAAACACAGCACCAGCGGCCATACCACCTATACTTGTACTTCTGATAGGGATTCAAGGTGGCGTCTGACTGTTCTGAATGTTGTGCTGGTCTGAGCGCTGCGTCACCTATACTTATACTAATGTAGGGGGGTTCGGGCTGGCGGTACGTTTCAAGTTCAAGTCAGGCTGATCTTAGCGCTCCGACGCAGGCTCCTACGCGCTACGCCGAAGTGGGGAGCTAATATATATTAATGTAGGGGGGTTCGGGCTGGCGGTACGTTTCAAGTTAAAGTCAGGCTGATCTAAGCGCTCTGACGCAGGCTCCTACGCGCTACGCCGAAGTGGGGAGCTGGTAGAAGTGGTGGATGATGAGGAAGCC